GGGACATGCTGGCGTCACTCTGATATGTTCTGCAGCAGTAAATGTATCACCGTGAGTTGTCTGGCAGATCGGGTTTCAATGGGTTCCATTCAACGTTTCATATCGTTTCATCAAGTCTTTTTCGGGGAGGGCGGAGTTCAGCACATCGGCGATGCCGCGGAAAGCTTCGGCAGTGGCATTGTCGATTAAAGGAAACCATTTTTGCAACTTTTTTGAACAGTGATATATGTACATTTATGTGATATGCCACATATAATTATATATACCTGCATACTAGAACTACAAGAAATAAATTGTCGTTTAGAATGTTCGATGAAGAACTGGTCGTTTCAAGAAAAAGTGGACGTTGTGCATATATTGAAAACACATCAAAATATAAACATCCCATGTTCCATCAACATTTGGTGGACAGAGCATTCTTTTTCCTGCGCGGAAACTCCTGGATCTTTTCTATTCCGTAACATATGCAGCCACCATGTACCTATACATGATTTTCCGGCCATGTTGTTTGGCATTGACTCTTCTCGATAAGCGGCTCACACGGCCCACAAAGTCTTCACACATAAAGGTGCTTTCAGCGACTGGATTAATCACGCAAGTTGTGTCAGCCCTGTATTGTTGCAACGTGGTATGCACTATGTGTGCGAGTAGGTGGATAACTGGCTTCATTGACCACAAGCAAAGCCCTTTTCCATGCGCTTTTTCAGCCAATTTCACGTATGCTTTCAAAAACCCGCACCCAGACTGTATCAGCTGCCACCCTTCAGATTCCGTAAGCCAGTAACTTGAATGGAAGAGAATGTGCATGAAGTGCGCAATCGTTGAACATGCGTCCAGAATCAAAGACAAAAACTCATCACGCGGAAAACCAACCAATCCTTTGATGCATAGATCTCCGACAAATTTTCCAATCGTGGCAGTGTCCATATTCTTGCTCCAATGACCTTTTGGGAAGCTGCGACTACCATAGTAACCTAGAAGTTCCAGGCTAAAGCTTCCAAAATGAATTCGTTCAGTCTTGTTGTTGCTCAGCCAAGCTTTGAACTCTTGGTTGATGTCGTCCAAACTTTGATTTATGTTCCTTCTTCTGTAAACATGCTTCATGATGTAGATGATGGCAGAAGCGGTGAAATCCTTCCCACAGCCAGCATGGTAGACATGGAAAATGTCAGGGCGATAAAAAGAAGCCAAATCCGAATCGTTTGTAGGCAAGTCCAATAGAGGGGAGGGAATTGTCCATGGCAAAGGGTTGTTACTACCAGTGTGTTGCAGCCACTGTGCCTGAGTAATGCGAACATCTTCAAATGGTGGGCCACCGGTCATACCCGCACTGCACAGCCAGCAGCATCCTTTGAGAGCCCGTGCGTGGGCACCCCTCACTGTTTTGGCAACGCTCGAGAAAGATCGATTGTGAAATCCTGCTTCCCGTAAAAACGGTGCATCACCAGTCAACCCCAGAATGGCAATTCTCCAAACATCACCATTATATTCAAAGCCTTCTTCCAAAAGGTTTTGGAGGTACTGGACCCAATGTTCCAGCAAAGATGTGAATCTCCCCTCTTTCTTTTTGTAAAGTTCAGATTTCATAGCGCAAAACAAAAATCGATTGCCCAATGTGTTGCCGAGCAAGTTGACACCGGGATCGTAGCTGATGCCATGGTCGCCCGATGCTTGCCGTTGCCTCTTTGCATGTGCATGTGGCTGCAACTCGGCTGGGCTTTTGGCTGTTCCAGCCCCCAATGCGTTGAACATACTCAAGATTAAAATGGAGTCCTTGCGGTATGTACGGCCTCCATCTCCATGGAGATAGAAAGGTAGAAGATGCTTGAAATCCAGTTGGGTCTGATGGGGCAAAAAAAAATCATGATCCGGATGCAATGTCTTGCATTTGGCCCAGAATTGGGGTAGCACATAATCACTGTAGGCAATTGGCACGCCCAGGATCTTGTGGAAATTTCCACTCGCGGCCACAGCTTTCAACTGTTCTTTTGGAGGAAAACAAGGATAGGTAAACCCTGAAGTATCTAAAGTCAATTTCTCCATAGGCATTTTCACAGCTAGGCCGCAACTAGCCAATGCTTGGAACAAGGGTTCATCAGCACTTTGCACATTGGCACGTGCGATTTGCTGCAAGACTGGGCAGTCATCTTTTGCGGCCGCAGCTTTTGCTTCTTCAACACAATCCAGAGCACTAGCCTTGGATACAGGTGCTCAAAACATTCAACCACCAAAGGACAGTAAGTTGATACAAGAAGGGTTCCCTAATTGATTTCCATGCATTGTCAAGTCTGCATGGGTGTTTTGATGTGCTTTTTGGAAATCGAAAAGGCAAGTTGTAGTAACCCGAGGTTCCAAGACCTTCCAAATCCCACGAGCAAATTCAGGCAAGAGGCGCCCTTGGCATATGACTTCGCGATGTGGTGGACTGTGTCGCTTAGCTGAACTGCTTGGCCTCCCATGCATAACACTTATTGAGATCTATTGGCTTTGAAACCCAAGATTTTTTAAGTCCAGAACATTGACAATCATGTGGTAGCTTCTGTTCGGATTGTCCAGCAATGCAGGCATTCAAGTATGCAACCACATGCAACCACATCGTAAGCATGCACTGGCTTATTTTCCCCTGATTGGATCCGCACAGCGTAACACAGCCGCAGGTTTCAGAATCTGCATGATATCACATGCCATCTCCCGGGCTGCAACCCCCAGCTACAGTATGTAGCATGGCTCATGAGAGCACCATAGGAACGTGAAAAGAATCCATTCACTCATTTTTGACAGCTTTGAGCTTCTTAGCCTTCGTGACAAAATGCCTCATGGTGATGCTGTCACAAAGCTACAGGTTTTGGGATGCTGCTGCTACTTGCATGCATGGACTTCACCGCCATCCTGGGCTACAGACCCTGCAGACGCTTGCGCGGCAGTGCCCTTTGAAATCCTGGGCAGCAAGAAAGGGTTGCTAAGTATTGGGCTACGATATCAAATCAAAATCGCATACGTAATATATCAAATTTATTTGGACATGGGCATGCATAGTTATATATCATATGTTTGCAAACATGCAGGTGTATTCATCAGCTCTACTGAGCCCACGAGTAAATGCAGAAAAGATTCGACTTGGTCAACGATTTGAAGCAGGTCTCGAGGTCCTCATTGATCCTCAAAGGGGCTAGACTTGGGAAAGGACTCAGTGAGTGACGGGTAGCAGGGGGTTCCATGAGTTTGTCAAAGTAGTAGTATGGTTTTGCAGCCAAACTTCTTGGCGGTGAATCCAGTGGTGTCACCCTCTGCCTTTAACTCAGTGAGCTTCTCATACTGTGTCTCGATCTCATCGATGATGGACTGCAACTTGTCCACCATCCTCGGAAGATGTAGCTGCTGGCCAGCCAAGGTATGTTGTGCATGCACCTATGCTTTGGGATTGCTGCAACTGCAGACATTTGACGAGGAGCTTGCGGCATGAGGTATCCTCGCTCATTAGCGGGCTGATCTTGTCAACAGTAGAACACAAGGTATTTTTGTTCTTCAAGGCATTCTTCAAGTACATACCCACTTTGCCCTTTGCCTAAGATCAGTTGCGGAAAAACCATCACATCATGAGTGTTATGCACTGAAAACTGAAACGTCTTGCATATGTTTTGCATCAGTGTGCACTGGATTTTAGCTAGTTGCCTGGAGATGGCAATCCCCCTCAAGCTCCAGTCGGTGAGCGGCATCACCCATCTCACCAAGACCCGGGATCGCAGCACCCCCATCAAAAGCCATGGAAGGGATATCATCCATAGATCCAGCACCTTCATGGGACTGGGTAACGGCCAGCCTCTGGAGATCTTCACGGGTGAGCGTCCCCTGGGTGCGAGTGTTAACCCAGAACTCCAACTCCTCTTCATCGTATTCACAGTACCTGTAAACAAGGGCGCGAATAAGGGTGCTTATTCGCACCCGTAAGTCGGAAGTGAAATGGTTTCAGTATGATGTATCAACTTGATGCAGTGATGGCCCTTGACCAGTTTTAAGTCATAACCACATTTATGTGAGATATAACCCCAGACCCCACACTTATAGAGCAATTAAAACCACATTTAGAACTGTTAAGAACCAGAAGTGTTCATGGCTCTTGGCAAGCCTCACCAGCTTCTTGGCAAGGGCCCACTTCTTCACTTTGTCGATGCGCTCCCTTAGTATACATGCATGCATGTGTCCGTGCTAATTGACTTTTTTCTGTATAGAAATTTTGTGAAACATTGCACCAATCTATACATGCAACTGGGCATCACTGAGTATCCCAATTCGGTCTTCATATCGCTTTCACTGTAGAATCCTCCCTTCACTTCAATCTTCTTGGATTTGGTTGTGCTGGAAAACATTTCAACCCTCTGCAGGAAGATGTCCTGCAGGGAATCCGACAAATCAAAGATTTTTTCAAAATCTAGCAAACTCAAATGATCTGTAAAAGTCTATGTGATATGTTGGGCTCATAGCAACCAACCCTTGTCCTTCACCCCACCGCTTTTGGTCCACATGGCGAAAAGTTTCTCCTTGCCCTGGTTGGTTTGCCAAAGTTCATAAATATCTTTGGGAACATCAAGTCGCCCCGTAGTGGCCTTGGGGGTCACAATTCGCTTGATTTTGTCCTTCTCACTTTTTGTCAGGGTCGAAACATGGAGGACAATGGGTTCCTCAACCTCCCCGCCACCATCACCTGCAGGTGCTGCTGGAGATGCAACATCCATGGTCACTTCCTGAGCAGGCTCAGGTGCCTTGGCTGAATCACCTGGTGGTGGAGCTCCACCATTGGTCTCCTGGCGGGTGGCGGCCATGGCCAAAATCTAAATACATTGCTAAATAAGAACTCTATAGTTTATCGATGTGGATTCCGAAATGGTTTTGCAATCCCACACCAGTTTAAGATTCACCATGCAATTTCATATTTCCAATGCGCACTGCAATGTTACTTGGCACCATGTGGCCGCTACATCGGCTTGAAATATGGTATAAAAACATGCAAGCCCATTAGCGGGCCCATCAATACTTTCAACATTTGCTCAATTTGATTGCTGCCAAATGACATTGGGTGCAACCGCCTCACCTTTGGACTGCATAAGCGACAGCTGCATCTTCAAAGACTCAATCTCCGCCTGCTGCTTGGAGGTGAGATCCACCATGAACTGCATTTTGCGGTCCTGGGCCCATGGCACCCGTTACATTTAGATGCTCTAGGGGAGAAACAGTAACATGAACATTGAACATGCATGCTACTAGGATTAGCATATCATAGATGCATGCTAGTATCTTCATGGAGTGAAGGGGCCTGCGATGGTGCAACAGAAGTAGCGCTCCAATTGTGCGGTGGGCGCATCAAGCCATTTTCATGGCCACTGGCTGCATCAAACTCTGGAGTCAAATTTCGGGGGGCTCCCAAACCAGCTTGCTTGGGCATGGGGCTCTTTGGGGATGGCAAGGTCAACCTAGCAATCTTTGAAGCCAGTTCCTTCTCTGAAATATCCTTTCTCTTAGCAGGTGCGATTGAGGGAACACATGGGGCAGGACAAAGGCTGGGACGGGCCACAGCTGCAACTGCTGCCTTTGGAGGTGGAGCCGGTGCTGATGCTTTAACTGCTGTAAAAGCCTTGCGCTGTCCAACAGCTTCCAGCCCCGAACCAACTGAGCAAGAAGGTCTCGACCCAGCTGAGCCAGAAGGTTGAGCTGCCATGACCTACGCACAAGCAAGAACAAATGTGACCAAACGATAACACATTGCATGGAACCCCAACGTTGATAAAGTATTAACTAGTCAACTACATGGTCAGAAGGCTATATGCCTGCCCTGGTTTTCCAAAAACATGCAGGCATATGTGCATTACAGGCCTTAGCAGCTATCAACTCAGGTGTAGTCGCAGGTACTGTCGTGGCTGTGGAAACAGATCTGTGCATCCCGGGCTTGGTTGTTGGCGTATTCTTCTCTGATGAAGCTTCCCTCACAGATTCAAGCACCTGCATGGGGCTGAAGGGGCCTCTCACACAAAATTTGAATTATACCTAAGCAACTTGTGATGGGTCTTTTGATTTGAAACAATTTCTCAAAATTCAACCCGAACCACCTGTTGGAGCTTTGCAAGTTCAGTGGGGTCATCTGGCAGTTCGGCTTTGATTGCTTTCAAGCAATTTGCATCCATGCAACCGATGCCATTCAGCAAGGTCGATGCTGACCAACCGTGCTGGAGAACTGGCTTTGGCGATGGCATCTTGCTCAGCACCATGGCACCTAAATGGGGTGGGGCAAAGGTGCCAAGTTTTATTTATTTATGAATCCAGGTCACCAAATTCAGGGTATTTTGAGGAATGTTGTACCTGAGTTTCGCTACAATCTGTTCAAATGGTTTTGGGGCAGACAATTTTGCGCGAAACCATCACATACTAATTGAATACAACCCGTTTCGTGCGAAATGTGTTCGAAACATTCACCGAAGCACCAAAAAAGGTATAAAATCGATCAAAATAAAAGTGGTCGTTTGATTGGATGAAAGTGGAAGTTGCTCATACGAAAGTGGAAGTTGCTCATATAAAAGTGGAAGTTTCGAAAATTCCAATTTCGCCGAAATTGGGTAAAAGCCTTAACATGAGTATCTTTTCGCAACCCTGCCTTCGAAATCCAAAGTCCAAAGTGCAAATGATGGGCACGTTTCGTGAAACTTCAAAAGGGCTACGAAACAAGTTCAATCTTGTGGGTTTGTGCGAATGTTCGAAATGAATCCCATTATCATACAAGACATCACATGTAAAGGAAAATCATCGTTTTCACTTGTGCGAAGGTCTCTAAAGGTCTAGAGGTGAGAGGGAATGATCCATGCCCAGCGCGGTGGGATGACTAAACCCTTAGCTCCAAGAAGGTATCTTGTGACCTCCCTCAAATGGGCATCTTCCCATGTGTCCCCCCAAGATTCATCTTGCTTCCAAAGAGTTTCAAGCTCCTTGGCAGCATCCTCTCGGGGCTGCTTGTCAACAGATGAAGCTTCATTCAAGATCTCTGGGAAGATATCGGCCATCTTGAGAGAAAACTCTCGAGTATAACTCCTGAGTAGGCAAGAGATGTGGAACTAGAAATTCCCGGGTCATTGACCATACCGGAAAATACTGTAGGGGAGGTCGCAAAAATATAGTACTAATAACAACTGCAAACTTGATCCAATTTGACTAGCAAGATTCTGTGTAGACCGCAACTGCTTGGACCCATGGAAGCGTGTTTTTCCAGCCTTGTTCTTATATTTGATGGTTGTAGAAAAATCTGGGTACTTTTTCTTCAGATCCTCCCGGAGCTTCCTAGTGAGCTTTCCCATCCAAAATTTGCAGATATGCCGTGAGTTACTCCACAAAGAAGTTCGCTTTGGTGACTTCGAGTTGAAAAACATCATCCAGAAGTTGCATCTGAAAACCTTGACAAGTCAGGACAATGTGAATCAGTAAGATATCCATCAGTAGGGAACATGCTTGGTTCAATATGCAACAGCTTTCACAAACTGCTCGGCCCACCTTCACAAGGCCGCATACCCACTGGAGCCTTGGATGCCGCCAAAGTAAAGAGCTACCCGGCTGCTCGACTATGAAGGTTCCTGACAAAGCCAGGACTAAGACCAAGATGAGGGCTAGTCGTGATGCCATCACGTTTGACTCCTCAACACATGGAAGTTCTCGATTACCCAATGGGTCCAGAAGGCTACGCAAGGTCGTAGGTCGTGAAATTGCAACCCACGTTGAGCATTTGATCCCATGCCAATTGATGAAGCCATCTTCACTGCCACGAAGTACTGATACTATATGGGTCCTTACACGAATCGTTTTAGGTTCATGTTGAATTTTGATCTCTGATCAAAATACCATTACTGCATTTGAGATTGATGTTGAAATGGAAAACTTAGCCATGCACGCAAACCCACCAGGGCTGAGGATATCCATCCCAGGGCTGTATTCAATATCAAGCTTTGCTGCAGGGCCACAACCACGAGACCTCAAAGTGTCGGTCATCATTCCGCACCCTGCATAGTGCTCGATGAAGGTGTAGCCCTGATCAGCACGCAAGGGTGCGATTGAGAAAGATGTAATCTTGCAAGGGCACATGGGGTCAGCCCTTTCCAACTCATGAACAACTCTTGAACAATACCTACATTGACTTCCACATGCTTCATGCTAAGGGGTCGGGCTCCCAGCCTCTGCCATCTCAATGTCTTGGTTCCAGTAGACCAGGAGCACCGTAAGGACGAATAACTTCAGGGAGAGGTGAACTAGTCAACTATTCTTGTAACCCATTCTTGCGACTGGAAAAAAAAAGGGCCAACTATCACCTAGTTGGACCCTTTTTTTCGGACCACTTAATTAATTATTTAATTTATATATGGTGGGTTGTGGAGGTGTCATTTGTCCATTGTCCAGTGGCAATTTCAAAGACGCCCATGAACCCTGCCTTAGGAGCACCCATTTTAAAAAGGGACAAAGCAGTACGAACAGGGCTACGCGCCCCCGCTGCCATGAACCAAGGTTTTTGTGGAACCGGAGATTGTTCAAGGTGCTGTGAGCAAACTGGCAGTGGCCGGCATGCAGGTTTTGCATGAACCACTGGTGCCTTGGCTACAAAAAAATGGCCCTATAGGAATCCAACATGCTGCCTCAAATTTTGATTTTGAAATCTTTTTGCATACTGCTTTCCCTGCAACATTGTCCCAAAACAGGCTAATTCCCCCTCACACTGGCCACGCCTTTCCTCGGAATCCGTGGGAGTGGTTGTGCTTGTAAAGCACGGGCCATGTGTACCTCCGCGGAGGCTCGTCAACACATGACTATATTGTAGGGATGTGGTTCGCACCACTCATTTGCTGATCTCCAAAACAGCAACGGGAAGCATCCGAAAGATTTTTTCAGATGTTTCCCGCTTGCAATTCAGTTGGCACTCAAGTTTTGGCACTCAACCTTGTCACAATCATCGCTAGACCCACTCATGCCAAGAAGCTTTCGGGGTGCCAGGCCACAATGCTGAATGAATTGAACTTTGTTAAACAATACGATATAATTTTTCAATGGGTGCTGTTTTCTAGACAGGACATACGAAATGAATCTTGGTGCAAACATGCAACCTTTCACCCCAATCTATGCTTGATGGCCGTCGAAAGAAAGATTGAAATCGGAATCCCATTGACCAGCTGACGCGCTGCGATAAAAATCTATCGCCCCTGCACCTCAAAAATCCTACTCATCGGCTACTCAGGCATCCTCTTTGGATCGCTGCGAGAGCTTGGCAACATACTTCTTGCCAGCCGTGGTGAGCACAGAACCTTGGCGAAACTGTGGATAAATCCCAGCTAAAACCAACAAAATTCGTCAAACATATCTCTTGGGTTTAATTTAGCTTCAGCAGACTGTTCCGGAGGAATCATAAAAACTATCTTTTGAAAAGGGACGGACTTTCTCATCCATCAAAAACTCATCAGCCAGCTTCTGGTTGACAACCTCTAAGTTGTTCTCATTGGCCGCGATGCGATCCGAGCACAGAATCCAAAAGGCTTCCTGCATTGGGCACCCCAACCTTGAACCATACCAACAAAATATTGAGATAGAAGCGATGATAAGCGATGATTGCTTGGGCTCCTAAAATGCCAAATTTCAAAACAGTAATGCACCATACCTTTGAAAATCTTTACAGTAAAGCACATACATTATGTGTGGGAACCCCCTATTTTCAACATGTTTCGTTGATATTCTGGAGGCCTTTGTTCTTTTGGCGGGCAATGAGCATGCTAGCTGCTAGCTGCTAGTGTCCATTTCAAATTGCATACCTGTCCTCTCCCCAAACTTGAAGATGAATCTTGCTCTTGATGTGCTCCTCAAAGACTTGGCGAATGGTGGTCCACTTGGCTGGCCATGCTGCAGATTTTGCACGCTTTGCAAAGGTTGCCTTGCCACTGACCGGAGCCCCATCACCACCATCCTCCTCATCCTCCTGATTCTTGCCCTTCTTCTTGCGCTGGTTTTTGCGGGGGATTGTGTCAGTCTCGTCAGGTTCAGAGGCAGCTGCAGGCACTGCCTTAGCTGACTCTAGCCTTGGCCTTCCCTTTCGCCTTCGCCTTGGCCTTGCATTTGGCCTTAGCCTTGGCGCCTTTGCCACGGCGACGGCGCCTTGGAAGGTCAACTTCCTCCTCCTCTTCCTCCTCCCCATCAAGATCCTCCTCCTCATCCTCACATTCTCCATCTCCATCCTCCCTTCCATCTTCGGGTCCACTCTTGTGTTTGCGCTTCTTCGCATTGGCTAACTGGAGCTGCTGCTCACGTAGGAAGGGCATGGATTTCAACTTCACATCATCGATGCCATCATCATGATCATCATTAAGAGGCTCCTGCCAGGAATCAAAAATTGACTTATATGCAAACTCTGCTGGTTATAGGGGGCTTCAACATTAACACTATGTTCTGCACATAGTTTTTTTGCATGAACGTGGGTCCTTTTCTTCCAAAGATGTTTCCAATGCCTTTGCAACTGCCTTGTTGCCGTCCTTTGCATCCGCGCAAGCTTGGTCAGGATCTGGATATGCGGCGCAAGGTGGCTGCGGAGTGCTGCAGCCTGGTGAGAATTGTATGTGTTGGATAAGGGTGGAACTATATAGAAGTAAAAAATAGAGTAAGCATGGTATGTACCAAATGAAATAAGTTGGGAACATTGGCGTGCAAAAGGCACTTTAAAACACGAAAAACAATTCTTTTTATGCTAGGGCACTGGGGGTTGCAGCTGGTGCGAGGGCATCCAGTTGTTCGGGCACAAGCTCTTTGGAGTCTTTGGATGGAACTGATGCTGTAGCAGGTGTAGGCTCAGTGGAACCACGGGACCTTGGAGCAGTCATTGGCACGATGTAAATTAGGGATTGTCATAGTGTGCTACTCGGTCAAATATGACATATATGAACACCCATATGTTTTTTAAATACATGACGATAAAGCAACTTTCTGATTAAATTTGGTGGCTGGTTACCTTTTCCAATTGTCATACGGTCAACTTGTCGAGAAATCCCATTGTCAAAACAGGGGGCCACTGAAAGCTTAGAATCACCAAACACACCTAGCAACTGCTCATGCGTGCTGATCTTGGCCTTCACCAGCTGGAGCAAAGCCATCACGGCATCCGGCTGAGGACCCGCAGGGCCAGCTGCTGCGGAGTCCGGCTGGTCACCGTCCACGTCGACGACCTCACAAGCAGCAGGCTCCTTGGAATGAAAGCCAGCATCATCCTCCACTGGTTGGGAATCCATAGGCAAGGTGTCGTCTTGCTCGGGGTTGAAACCGGATGCATCAGCCATAGCTAAAGCCCTGAGTTCTGCCAATGACTTCTCCTGTTCTTCTTCTAAACTAGAACAGCTGCGGGATAGGGTGTCACGAATTGTGAAGTCACTGGCAGCCTCAGTATCACTAATATCATCAATGTTCGGGCGACCTTTTTTGTTGGATTCCTCATCAGCCTTAAAGATGAACGGGCTTCGCCCTTCCTGGTGGGCAAGGAAGAATGGAAAACAGATTGAAACACACATTACACAGATCGCCTTTTAAGATTGTTGACTTTATCAAAGGAAAATTCAATTGAAAAAAAGGGATATTAACTTTCCATCAAGTATCTTTGAATGCTTTGTCAGAAGCCTTTGCCAAATCCTGCACCAAGTCTCGCACTTTGGGATCCTACAGCGTTTAACCCCAGGGCCTTGGAAAGATCATTGACATATTTTGCGATCGCCCCAACTCAAAGAAAATAAGAAAAAAGGGACCATGGACCATAGTAATTACATTAATTAATCAAATTAAGCCATGGCTCACGTGGCATCTCCCATCTCCGCCACTTGAAACGGATAATTGTCAACATCCTTTTGATACTTTTAGCAACCTCATGGCAAACCGTCACCCCAGCGTCGGTCTCAACGTCACATTGCATAAGGGTATAAAATCCAACCACTGCCTTCTTCACGGGGTCTATATGGCTTGTGCAAATCACACCAGTGGCTGCCATATAACTGGTGAAACCCTTGAGCAAAGTGTGGTTCTTGCTCATATTTTCCAAGGAAGGTGGTGTAGGCTGCACTGCATCATCAACGCTGGCCACTAGGGTTTTGCCCCTAATCGCCCGCTCACGTAGAGGACGACAGTTTTCCCACATGCGGATGCATGGCTCATTGTAATCAAAGGATTTTCGGAGTTGCTCTAAATCCCAAAGGTCCATTGTCCCAACTTGTAGCCGAAAAACTTTCATCATCTATATATGTGTAATGCGCTGGATCAGCCCCAGTCCCCTTTCCCAACATCCGGTGGCGCACGGTCGCAAAAACGAATAAGGCGATGCGGCACATCATCACCTGGCATTGGCGGCAAACATGGAGACAAAACAGAGTACGTGAGAGTGGGTGGGGTGACACGAAACGTAGCTTAAGCATGGCAGTTGCACCAGCAGAAGGGCATAGCCATAGCCGATGGTTCCATCAGCTCCCAAGATAGGCTACCGGTAGCAGCCACTCTGTGTGTGTGTGGATTTCCTAGAATTACTTGGTTACATTTTTGTAAATGGTGATTGACCTAGAATTGGTCAAACCACAACAATGGCCTATTCTTGTGACAGTACTTGATAATATCTTCCTGGCCTCTCTAAAGATTGCACATTCCCTGATAAATGCGGCGTCAGATCATGTTGCAAACAACCCGGTCACCTCGGCAGCACATGGGGCACAAGGGTTCATGGGTTTCATATACATCCAATCGTTTCATGAAGAAATGGTCGCTTATCCAAACTACAGTTTTAAAGTGATCGTTGGGATACCCAGGTATATATAAATATATATGCCATTGCATTGATATTCAGCACTGCAAAAGCCTTACTTGTAGGTCTTTTACCATGTTTGACCTTCTCAAGGGACCCCTCAAGGGACCCACCAAGGAAAGGAGCTGCGGCACTCTGTGTTTTGTGCGCTGGCTCCAACGTCACAGGTCTTTTAGCAGACGTGTCAAGGCTGACGAGCCTCATTCATCAGTATGGCCACCGAGCTGCATTTGGCACATTTAAGATGTTTTGCTGAAAAGGCAAGGTTGGCAAGGTAGCCAGCAAAACCAGAAACGCAAAACCACCTACTCAGCTCGTTTGATTTGTGATGGGTCTACTCAGAGTACCAAAGACGTAGCACTAAAAAGCCATGGGATTTTTGATGATTTTTGTATGTCCTTAAACAATCTTAAACATTTGAAACAACAGATTGGGATATGGATGGGGATGTTGGATAATGCAACGGCAATTCTCAGGTGCTTTGGCATGTTGGGATTTTGCAGCAACTGCTGGACACCTACGGCCCAACCTGAATCCACCGACTCAGCGGCTTTGACATAACAGCTGGGGGATCTTTTCAGGCAAAAACATGCAAGAACTGTATCATACTATGACATATGAATACATATATGAATACATATATGAATACATATATGAATACATATATGAATACATATATGAATACATATGAAATATCTGTTATATATATATGTTATATACTGTTACATATCTGTTACATATCTGTTACATATCTGTTACATATCTGTTACATATCTGTTACATATCTGTTACATTGCGTATGAGATGTGTATGACATATTTCTTACACGCTTATGCTGTCGAGGCCCGATGCTGCTGTGGATGTGGCCTTTTTCTCTCCACACAAACTGCTCGGCGGTCCCGGATCCGTGGGGCTGCTTGTGGCAAAGAAGAGGCGGGACACAGCGATCGTGCCGCAGTGCCGTCGCAGAGCCAAGTCTCAGGCTGATAATTATGATATTTGATATATATATATATATAATATTGATATATCTTGATATATCTTGATATTATTTGTTGATTATGTTGATTCTTGTTGTTTCTTATGTCATTTCTTATGTCATTTCCTATGTCATTTCCTATGTCCGTTTCTGAATCTTCCGGCTTTCGGGTGAGGTTGCTGCGAAATGCCGTGCCTGCTGTTCCTGGTGGTGGAGTAGTCTTCTTTGTCGATCCTCAAGGTGAGCTCCATTGGTCCATCGTGTTGCACTTTTAGGTGACTTTTAGGTAAAACATGGTGACAAGATGTAGGGCAAAATCATGCAAAATCATTTTCAATGATTTTGGAGCGAAAGCTTTTCACTCATTCTGAGAGACAGCAAACTCTTGTCCTGCTGAAGTGAAACCCTTGACATTGCCACTCTGCCGGAAGATGCCTGAAGAGGAAATCACAACCAAGCGGAATTGAAGTCAAATTAAGTTCAGGAATTTCAAAAGTCACGATGCAGAGAGAAAGGGAGACACTATATTCATCTCATTTTTCACTCATTTTTCAGGCCATTCCTACATCCAGAACAGTGAAGATCGTGAAGAAGCTGGAACACCTGACATTGTGGGTTGCATTCGCACAGGCCCGTGATCTCCCTGATGACTTGCTACGTACTACTGTAGCAGTCTGCCATTGACCAGGTCTGGCGTACCACTTGCACACCTTGCTGCCGGAGAAAGTCTTCGAGGTTGCGGCAAATTCAGCGAGATCGGTTGCACTCTAAATTGAATCCACAAACCAACCGGTGTTGGTGGCATGCAAAAAAGGCCTTTGGTGCCTTTACAAATTCTTTCCACACAGTGATTAGGATACACACGAAGTACAGTGAAATCGTGTCTGTGATGGGAAAAGAATCCAACTGAAAAAACTGGAGTATCTGATGCATTCTGATGCATCTCAGGTTCAGTAGCTGCGTCCTGTTTGATTTACTGCAGGCAGAAGTTCAAGGTCTTCATAATTTGTTGGAGCGATGGAAGTGCAATCCGCGTCTCTTGTCATACCAATTCTCATACCAAACTATTGGCATTCACAGGGATGTTGCAAGTTAGGACTTGACAGAGAGCTTCCCTTGAATTTGTTTTGAGATTACGCAACTCTATCGAGATGGGTTTCAGGTGAATGTTTGACCATGTGAGTCCCTTCAGTTGGGCGATGTTTGAAATGGAATGAAACCAGTACACTCCAGGACACCTGTAGACCAAATTCACTTGTTTTCTCATGGCCAAGGTATTGAAGTCTTGGGTCAGCCTGAGACGCCACGTCCACGGAGTCCACGGGCTGCGATTGTCTCCTTCATGATCCGATACGGAAATGCACCAGGCGGACGCTACCCAGTGTGAATTCCGTATCGGGTAGCGTAGCATCACAGCCTGTCACAGGCGGATTGTATTTGCACTACAACTATGTGGTGGCTCTGTACCTGGGCAATCTGAAAGCTGACACATTGGCAACACGTTGGTACGTTGCCATGTGGCCATGTGCCGAGGCTCAATGATTTGTTTGGGATCCAGGCCCGTGGCGGCTGTGCATGCGCTGGACCGTATGGTCAGAGATTACTGGGCCTGGATGCGGCAACGGCCAAAGCTTTCGATGAGGCGAAAAGCTTAGCTTGGCATCACATCTTTAGGGTCAAACAGCAGAGAGTTCTACTTTTCAATCACTTCAATCTACAACAACGGATGGATTTTTTGAGTCTGGATTTCTTTGCTATTCCATCCGTCGCCACTTCATGCAATTTTTTTAAAGGCCAGATCAAGAGTCAATCAAGAGAAGAATGCTTTGTGCCGGATTCGGTTCTGCAAGCCACAGTATGTATCCAAAAGCTAGCAGTGCTTTTGTTTGTTTTCACATGTTTCCACTATGTGCAGTCGATGTCTTCGCTTTCTTGAAGTGCTCTTTTTGGGAAGGCTTTGATGCATTCAGCACAGGAGGTTCTTCGACCCGGCACCTCGCAAGCATTCACAAGCCGGGAACGTCCTGAGATATCCTGAGATACTTTGGATGAGGCCTAAGGTGATACAAAATGATACAAACATTGTTTTCCAATGGTAAAAAATGAGCAGCGCGTGGAAAATCGGAAGATATGGGGGAAGAGATGGTGCAGATACGTGCAGATTGCGGCACCTGGATGCTGTGGATTGCCATTGAATTGAGGTTTTGTGCGAGTGGGAGTTCACTTCACCATGTCAACAGCAGAGTTGGAACTCTTGGGCTCTGCAGTGGATCCTTGGACTGTTTTCATCTGTTTTCATGTCACATGTGGAATCTTCCATCAATTTTTTTTGCAGCACCCAGGTATTTTATGGTATTTTTGTACAATGTACAACAAGTTTCGACATGTTTGTTTTACTTCTCAACAATCGACGCATCGGCGCAACAGGATTGGGTGGCAAGGAACGGCTGGCGATTGCTACCTGCCTACAGTTTCTGCGTGGAGACTGGCGAGTGGCATCATCGTCTCAGTACGCCCCAGCAGGCGATCTCCAGGGGTCAGTCTTGAATAGAGTGCTATCTGGCTATATGGTTATTATATGGTTAATGTATGGTTAATAGTTGCTAATATATGGTTAATACATGCATGGCTAATAATGGGTTTCCATAAATGGGGGTACCCCTTTATCGCTGGATGGTTTATTTCATGGAGAATCCTACTAAAATGGGTAAATGGATGAATTTGGGGGTAGCCCTATTTCAGGAAACCGCAGGATTTGGGATGGAAAATGGTGTGCTTTCAAGCTACCGAAGCA